CCTTGGCTGCTCCTAGAAATTCTGTCCAGAAAAGTTATGAACAGAATCGGTGTCAAAGGACAACCTTGGTGGAGTCCAACTCTCACTGGAAACGAGTCCGACTTACTTCCAGCAATGTGGACCAAGCTCTGGCACCGGTCCTACAGGGACCTAACAGTCCATATCAACGGGCCTGGTACCCCATACTCCCAGAGTACCCCCCCACAGGAGTTCCCGAGGGACACGGTCAAACACCTTCTCCAAGTCCACAAAACACATGTAGACTGGTTGAACTCCCATGAACCCTCCAGGACCCTGCTGAGGGTGTAGAGCTGGTCCACTGTTCCAAGACCAGGACCAAAACCACACTGCTCTTCCTGAATCTGAGATTTGACTATCCAACAGACCCTCCTCTCCAGGACCCCTGAATAGACCTTACCAGGGAGGCTCAGAAGTGTGATCCCCCTATAGTTGGAACACACTCTACGGTCCCCCTTTTTAAATAGGGAGACCACCGCCCCGGTCTGCCAATCCAGGGGAACTGCTTCCGATATCCACGCGATATTGTAGAGTCTTGTCAACCAACGCAACATCCAGAGCCTTGAGGAACTCCAGGCGAAGCCGTACAAAAGTCTTTTTCCATGACCTCTCCGAACTCCTCCCATGCCTGAGTTTTTGCCTCAGCTACCACCCGAGCCGCAATCCACTTGGACTGTCGATACCTATCGGCTGCTTTCGGAGTCCCACAGGGTGTTCCTCCCAACCACGCCTCTCCAGGTCTCACTGTCATTACCCACGTGAGCGTTGAAGTCCCCCAGCAGAACGAGGGAGTCCCTGTTAGGAGCGCTCTCCAGCACCCCCTACAAGGACTCCAAAAAGGCTGGGTAATCTGAAATGCTGTTAGGCTCATAGGCACAAACAACAGTCAGGACACGTCCCCCCACCCGCAGGTGGAGGGAGGCTACCCTCTCATTCCCCGGGGTGAAACCCAACGTACAGGCACCAAGATGGGGGGCAATAAGTATGCCCACTCCTGCTCGGCGCCTCTCAGCATGGGCAACTCCAGAGTGGAAGAGAGTCCAACCCCTCTGGAGGAGACTGGTTCCTGAACCAGAGCGGTGCGTCGAGGTGAGTCCAACTATATCTAGTCAGAACCTCTCAACCTCACACACCAGCTCAGGCTCCTCCCCCACCAGAGAGGTGACATTCCACGTCCCTAGAGCCAGCTTCTGTAGCTGAGGATCGGACCGCCAAGGTCCTCACCTTCTATCACTGCCCAGCACACATTGTACCTGACCACTATGGCCCCTCCCACAGGTGGTGAGCCCATGGGAAGGGGGACCCACGTCTCCTCTTCAGGCTGTGCCCGACCGGGCTCCATGGGCGAAAGCCCGGCCACCAGGCACTCGCCAACGTGCCCCACCTCCAGAAAGTAAAGTCGCTCCTTTAAAACTCAGCTCTGACAATGGATAGTAAACTCATTTTGTGTGTGCGGTGTGTTCTGCTCAGGTTCTCGGTGAAGACGCTGCTGGACCGCTCCTGCTTTGACACAATAGACGACTCCTCTCCAGAGTTCATTAACTTTGTTTCCATCCTGGAGCACATCCTCAGTCATCGGCTCAAAGGTGGGTCACCTCCTCCCATCAACCTGCTGCTAAAACCTTCTTCAGACATGCAGCTGATTTTGCACTGCAGTTTGTTTGTTTTTTAGGATATGAATCAGTAGTTGTTACTTGTTGGGATTTACAGTATTTATTGTTATTAATGCATGTATTAGGGATGCAAGTTATCGATTAATGGATTAATCTAAAGTTGATTGATCTTATCGATTGATCTTATCGATTGACTAACGATTAATTGATAAGTGGCCATTTTCCTAAAAACCTGACATTTCTCTTAAATTAAAGGTTTTTTATAACATAAAGGACTAATTTTTACATGCCAAATTTAAAAAGAGTACAGTATTATTTTCACCATTCATTGTGCCAGACTGAATAAACTGAAAAATGTGGATTTCTCACACATCATTAAATTTGGACATATTTATAAAATATAACAACAAGGTAATATTTTAAGATAAAGATTAACTTAAAAACAAACTAGAAACATTATAAAATCCCTGAAAGACGTGAGATACAATTGAGTACTGGTATTTATTTGTTTGTTTACATTCCCTGTGGTTCTATCTGGGCTGACGTCAGTTACTGTTCATTAGGCTGGTTCACTGGCCGGGTTACATCACACAAATTAGATTAACTTCATGTTAATTATTTGTAGCAACTGTAGTTTTTTTTCTATCACACAAGTTACACTCAACAAGAAGATGCTAATGTTAGCTAAAGTTAGCTTACCGTTCTCTCTGTCGTCCTGCTCTCTTTGTCACGTTAGTCACAAGAATGAGCCTAAGTCCGGACGGAGGATGAGTAGAAAATAAAACTATTTATTAAACAAAACAAGGAGCTGATGGCAGCTAAAATAACAAAACACAAGGAGCCACAGGGAAACACTGAGGACGAGAGACAGTAGGATAAATCCATGTAATGATCCAGTGGAGACTGAAAGGATGAGAAGAGTATTTAAGCACAGAGGAGGAGAGAAGATGGGCAACAGCTGAAGAAAAACTAATCAGATAACAACCGACAGGTGTGTGATGACTGAGGAGGAAAAAACATGAACAGCTGAGGAGATGAAGGTGTAATGACAATGAGAGAACACACGAGGGAGGTAGAACACGGAACAACAAAACACACATCCTCACAGTACCCCCCCCCCAACGAATCGTCACCTGATGATTAACAGATAAACACCGGTGGGAGGTGGGGGGTATGTGACTCAAAGACAGGACGGAGGGCATGAGAAAAAAAACAACGAAGGAAGCACAAACACAAAAAGACACAGAAAACAAAACCAAAAACTGGCAGGAAAGTCCTGGAAAAAAAAACAACAACAAAAATAGGCACAGATATGGCCCTAGTTCAGGTGGGCGCCCAGGAACCCAACACAAACAAGGCAGAGGCTCTGGTGGACGGCCGTGGATCCGACCACATCGGAGACACAACTGGCAGCCCACGGGCCATATCCAACCCACACATGACTTCCGTTCGGCCCGCCAAATTTCTTTATTGTAACAAGAGTACAGTTGTTTTACATGCATGAACACACACACCTGTTACACATGCATAAACACACACACCTGTTATACATGAATAAACACACACACCTGTTATACACGCATAAACACACACACCTGTTATACACGCATAAACACACACACCTGTTATACATGCATAAACACACACACCTGTTATACACGCATAAACACACACACCTGTTATACATGCATAAACACACACCTGTTATACATGCATAAACACACACCTGTTATACATGCATAAACACACACACCTGTTATACATGCATAAACACACACCTGTTGTACACGCATAAACACACACACCTGTTATACATGCATAAACACACACCTGTTGTACACGCATAAACACACACACCTGTTATACATGCATAAACACACACCTGTTGTACATGCATAAACACACACATTTGTATTACATTTGGGTAAGTGTGCACCACTATGCGGCCCTCTGGTAGTGTCAACAGTAAGCTGTGGACCCTTGTCGTCGATGCCTGAGTGACGGAATAGCTGTCTTGCTCATGAACACCATGACATGTGGACATGACAGGGAATTGAACCTGTAACCTTCTGGTCTGAAGTTAGCTGCCATACCACTGCATCAGAGCCACCTCTTGCAGTAAAAGTTTTCTGTGAAGAGTTGCATGTTCTCTCCATGCATGTGTGGGTTTACTCTGTCCCTCAGGTCAGAAACACAAATGTCTGCTCTAAACTGGCCCTAGGTGTGTGTGTGTGTGTGTGTGTGTGTGTGTGTGTGTGTGTGTGTGTGTGTGTGTG